CTTCTCTTCGCAAATAGTGAGAACTCGACGGAGAATCCGGAGCAACTCCTCTGGAGAATCGGCATACCCGAGTAAATCATCGATCCAGATGAGGAGACCGTTGTTAACCCCTTCAAACCGGCTGATTTTTCCTTTCCTTAACTTGCATATGCAAGATAGTTTGACGTGGTGTTTGTATACTTTTACTTGTTACAGAGATGGTCGACGAACCGAACGTTGCAATAACCGGTGCAAACTGCATAATAACATGCATACATGGCTGCAAGTTTAGGCTCTAAACTGCATTAATCATTCCATTTCCGTAACATAGATGCTGACTTCCGGCCGTCTCGTAGTACAGCGATAGGCGGGTGCAGAAACGGTAGCAATTTTAAAGATACTTAAATGTCGAAATTTAGAAACTGTCCACTTGCGTACATATTTTGAAGTTGTTCCCATCGAAGTGGCGAGCAATCAAAAGGTCATTTTATGGATCATACAATTATGAAGCCTATAATACATCTGAGCATGGGTGTCCGGCTCTTGCCTCACGGACTGCATTGTAAGCAAAATGAATCGATGATTGCACTTGATTCTCAACCTGTAAGAGATATACAAAGACAATTTACACTGAAGCCATTACAAAAACACAGACACTGATGATAAAATGCATATTCACCATCCTGCATATGCATGATACTTAATCAGCAGCGTCTCTCAGTCTTTTGCGTGATCCACCATCTTTCATTGGAGTTGCTGGGCGTATACGGATGCGGCGTTCTTGGTTCGAAGGTCGCAGCTTTCCTTTACTTCATTCCTTGTGCCAAACGTCAAAGAAGGTTGTCAATACTCCGCGAATCACATGCCTCGGGCGCATACACAGGCAGATAGGCGCATTACCATCGCACTCGGAGCAGTAGTACGCCATCGTGTGGGGCTTTGCGCCCTGCATTAGAGAGCAAACTTTACACGCACGCTGACGCCGCTTCGGCTGCGTATCTCGGCTCCTCCATTCATCCACCAGCTGTGCTACGTGATTAGACACGTGCCCCGCCACACCAGAACCCGACGCACCGGCGATATGCTCCCTCCTTCAAAACGTGTTTCTTGGAGCTGGGTGAGCTGCAAGTGGAGGCTCTTCATGAATTTAACGTGAGTCAACGGCTTTGAAGTCTTGTCCTTGTGGTAGGCCTTGTGCACAATGTAGCTTTTCACTATAGCGATGTCAGTAAGCCCCAGCACGAGACTCTTGTACGACTATATCCAAATCCACACTTCTACCCGTAACCAAGAAGTTGTATTGTTTTTGAATCCATCCAGCAAATTGCGCGTAGGCCAGGTACTTTAGAAGACTCCACAATCTTACACGTCCCTCGATCCACATCTTTTGGCCGTGTTTTCATGTTACAAATGATCTCTTTGCAGTACCCAACGCGATTTGTCATTATAGTGCCCACACAATAGTACGCCATCAGTAGTAGCTGAATCAGGAGAGCAACCGAGGTGTAGAAGCGATCGATGACAACCAGTCTCTTTACGGGCAACGGAGCGTCACCGAACACTTCGCGCAGGTTCCGAACGACGGCGGCAGGGCCTTCCTTCTTGTCAAGTTGGGCAGAGTCGCTTGCATGATTTTTCTTGCCGCAGTATACTTCAAAACTGCATAATGCTGTTTAAACAGGAACATACTTCCATTAGTAAACTGAATAATACAGGATAAGAAATTTTCAAAACCAAAAAAAACAATACCTGATGCAGTACGCCGTGTGTGCACTGCACAACATAAAGAGCTTCGTTCCCCACTTGTGCGGTTTTGCTTTCATGTAGACGCGCATCTTGTTGAAGCTGCTGCGGCTTGGAAGCATGGCTTCATCAAATGAAAAGGTCTGCAGGTGGCACGTATCCTTCGCGAATCGTCCGCTGCAGCACTTCAACGACCTTGCGGATCTTCCAGGCTCGATCCGTGGTCGCTCTTGGGTCGACGTTATCATTGAAGTGTAGGTTTCTGCAGATATCCATGAATCGATCTCGTGCCATCACAGAACTGAACGCTCCGCGTGGAATCGTCCCCTCGTCGGTGGTTATCCAGTGGTTTGCCAGCTTTTCTCGGTTTGAGCAAATTGTTCGCGCGATCAGTAGTCCCACGAAGCGACACAGCTCGTGTGGTTTGATTGGAGGAACCGCTTGAAGCACATCGCGCCGTGTCTTCTTCTTCGTGGCAGGATTCGCTTGACAGCGCCGCTTGTGGCGCTTGTAGGCATCGTCAACACGAGCGTGGAGCATATCTCTCTGGTACTTGTTTGAACAGACAGCACCGTGCTGCCACAATGCAACCGGCATGAAGTAAAAGAACAACGCCATAGGCGAGTCCCCACGATGCTATACTTCAGGAGTGGGTCCGGAATAGCCTTGGCGAAGTCCCGGGTAGCTAGTAGTGCCTTCAACAGGAACATAAGGCGTTTGTAGCTCCTCGTGCACGTCCGGTTCATGAATTAAACCCCATCCAGTAGTCGAAAATTCTCTCAGTGTTCTGTCCAGCAAGTTACCCGCCAAAACAGCGTCGGCGCCTCCAAATCCATCCAGAAATTCTGTTGCCAGCGCAATATCCATCTCGTCTCGTTCAGGGTCCGGCTCAGATCCATCGGCTGCACTGCCATTTGATACCCAACCACTGCAATCAAACTGGATATCTGTAACAACGTCGTCCCTTGCCGCTTCATCGCCAGATTCAAGCGCATCATAATTGGGGTCTCTTCCGCCTGGGGCATCCACATTCAAGAGATCAGTTGTTCCTGAAAGTATATCTTCGTAACACAAGCATAAAATTCCGTTATCATGAATATTCAGTATAAGGTATCGTGTATATGCAACATACGCACTGAATGGCATTGTAAGACTTACCCGTTTCGTTGTTCTCTTCAACAGACTCAACGCTGGAATTCCGCTCGTCCCCCGATTCAGCAGCTTCTTTTTCACCTCCGTGAGGACCTGGCAACACGATGGGGGGGGGGGACGACTTGAGTAACGGGTTCAGCTACCGGCACTGGCGCTTTTTCTTCATCAGATATGGCGTCGTCAACTATTGTGCATTCACGAGCGTTAGACTATGCATGTGGTCAAAGAAATATTCAGGGTGGTCAAAGAAATATTCAGGATAGCGTACGGGTGGCTTCTTCAGACGGATGTACTGAACGAGCTAATGCATAATGCTAGTTAGTTATCCAGCATATCCTGCATATCATATCCTGAATATGCAACTGGTACTCACATGAGCGGCGACGCTTCTGCTAGCCCGTGGCAGACGGCTTGGGCACTTTTCGAATGCGTTTGCCCCGCCAAAGGCTGTTGGGTACCTGGAGATGGTTGGAGTGGAGACGTGGGCTGGGTGGTGGTCGCTTGAGCGGGTGGTGGTCTTGCTGGGACAGCAGGATCAGCAGGAGGTGCTGGTGTCGTCTGGAATGGTGCAGAACTGGTAGACGAAGACTTTTTGGAAGCTGTAACATTATACAAACAATGGTTAGGCTGTGTAGCCAACAATCATCCCATCTCGCTTAACACCACTGTAGAACTCCAACAGCTCTTCTTCTTCAAGAAAAAAAGTCGATGCCCTTCGTGCCGTTAGCATGTCCGCCAGGGTGAACGTACTAATGTCGGATGTAAGTCCTTCGCTCGTGGTCTTACAGATGTCAATCCCTGCTTCTTCAGCTCCTTCCACGCCACGCCAAACGGGATGTTTTGACTGCTCACGTACTTGCCTCGGACAGCAACCATTTCATGCAGCGAGCCTGGCTCCGTTCTTTTCGGGCTCGAATTCTCGAATGAGTGGCTGGATAGGGAGCGAAAATTTTACCTTTAGAACATAATGTAAAACTCATGTTTACCACATAAACTTTTACATATTATACTCAAATTTAAAGAAATATTATTTGTCTCGTCGCTTGTTATGTGTATCTGCTATGCTACCACACATACAGAGAGCCAACACTTGTAGGGTCCTTTTTGACTTAGATTTTGTATAGCCGAGGATTTGAAAAAAATCTATACAAACTTTAAGTCATATTTGAGCTTAATATGCATAATGCAGGTTAAGCAGTTTTGAAAAGTTTCATATGCAGGCTCCCGGTTTAAAGGGGTTAAAAAGATCACCGAACATCGCTTGAACAGTTGATTGAACATACGCCACACTATTAGTTCCGCCCATCAGCACACTGGTAGGAGTAATAACACCGTCCTCTGTCAGGATGGAATAAATTTCCTGGCAGTCCTCCGCTACCGCGAAATGCCAGAAACCCTTAAAGAAATCCAGAGAAAAGTAAAATCGCATGCCTCACAAACGATCAAACTCGACTTCGAGCATGGGCATTGGCCAAACCACCGGCACCACGCGCTTGTTTGGCTCTCGGACGTCCACCGTCATCCGATGGCCCTCACCTTTAGGCACAACGTGGGGCGGCGAGCACCACTCGCTGGTAGGGTTCCGACAACACAGTCCTGCATCCAAGAGCAACTTGATATGCTTGGCAAGAAAGTTTCGGTGCGCCATCGAGTAACGTCGCTTGCGACAGCGTGCCGGTGTCGCACCAGGTTTGAGCTTAATGGGCATAGGAGGCATATCCACAGGAGGTTCGCCACCGAGCGCCATGCGGAACGCATCGAGCTGTGCTGTGAGCCTTTCTTCTACTTCGCGAAGAAAACTTATCGGTGCGCCAATCGCTTCGGGAGCGGCGATACCTTCAGCGAGTGCAGCCATCGCCTGGTCAACGGCAGGTAGGTCGCCACTTGGTACGGGGAAACACACTGACTCTTCTGCTTCGCTCAGGCCTTTTTCTTCCGGTGTCAATTCAACCTTGTGGACGTCAAATGCGAAAACCCCAGACTTGGTAGAAGTTAGGCTAATATCCTCGAGATCATACTCCGACTGAACTGATTGGGCCGACTCGATGAGTTTGTAAGGATCGTATCCCAGTCTTTCCATTACCGCATCTGAGAGCAAAATGTCACCAACCCCGTCGGAAGCGGTACCGAAGAAAGTAAACAAACCACATTCCGCAGGATAAGAGACCCGTCTGGCGTCTGGAACCGCAAGCAGAGACTTGTTTCTTCCTGAATTGAGATCGGCGTCGGTCCGACACCACGGACTACCTGTGTAGATGCCAGCGACCGGCGTGGTAGCCATACCCGCCGTTTGCAGCAGTTTATCCACAAGCTCAGGAGCAATGAGACTGACTTCAACACCACTGTCGGGTTTGATGTATGTGTCGACACAATCCATGACGCGGGAAAGGAGCGTCCGCTTGGAGTCCGTCTCAGCTGGAATAGTCAGGTGAGCGAACCCAACTGATTTAGCAGGACGAGCCTTTTTACCGGTCTTCTTCACAAAAAGCTGCTTCGCTCCTTAATCTCAGGATAGTGGAAAACGAAGTGCGTGAGATCTCCACATTTGAAACACACTCGTTGCGGTCGAACCGCCTGCTCAAGTGCTAAGGCACCACTTGGTGCATTGTTTTTAGTACTTACGCCAGTAGGTCTCATTGAATATCCCGACTGCAGCGGGGCTGCTGTAGCTTAGCGTCAGAGGAAGACGGTTAACTCAAAGAGTAAAGGGCTTAACTAAACACCCTAATAAAGGTTAATAGGTCCTTAATATCCGAAGGCACCTACTAACGATAACCTTAATAAAAGGGGACGTTACTCTTTAGCGTTCTTAATCTCAACTGTT